TATTTTATTCGAGTCCTACACTCCCTTAGATAGGATCCAAAAATTTTCGTTGGATTAAATTTCTTAGTGAGTATTCAATTTCTTATTAAATTCAAATAACCTCACATAATAGAAATCTTGATTAATTAAGTTTAATAAGTAGGAAACTATTTTCCTTTTATATAAGTATACAAGATTTGATCTATATTCCTTGTCCTAGCTTCGGATACCTCATATAATAGAAATCTTGGTACCCTAGGCTAGTTAAATCCAAACCATTATGCTTTCTTAATATGACATTTTCATCATGTCCTCACATTATAGAAATCTTGGTCAAGATTAAAATATCCATCCATGAACAAGATCAACTTAATTCTATGGCATAAAGATCATATCCCTCACATAATAGAAATCTTGGGATATTAAAATTTATGTTAAAGAATTTAGTTATCTCATAATGGGAGACTTGAATGTAATAATTTTAATTAGGGAGTTTACATTGAACTTTAGTTAATTTTAACATGCTATGTTTAATTAACATTTCATACATATCACATATATGCACAAATTAAAGCATGTGGGTTGATCATGGGATTTTTCGAAAATACATCCTAAAGGTAACTATTTATCCTAATCCTATATATTCAATCGCATCATCATCTAGATGCTCTTCGGGTTTCCATCCAGCCGATTCAATTACAAATTGGATTTTAAGCATGCAGGCCCAATTAAAATAAATGAACATATAAAATTTAATTATTACATGCCATTTAATAAAAGAATATTACATAACCCTTTTGAATATTTTTGAAAACCAAATGGCACCCATGATCAAAATATTCATCCATCATATAAATAAATATTAATCCATCCATACCATATAAAATAAACAATTATTTAAAGGCATGAATATAAATTAACTCATAAATACATATATTTTAGCATCTATTTATATATACAGTAGAACCTCTCTATTAGGGGTGTTCAAAAGAACCGGTTGGAACCGGAACTAGCGGGTACCCTGGGTTTGGTTCCGGTTCCTACCCAGAACCAATCGTCAATGGGTAGGTTCCGGTTCCAAATTTTTGGAACCGTTAATGTGCGGTTCCGGTTCCGGTTCCTATAGTTAGAAACCGGAACCGGAACCATGAACCAGGAACCGAGACTAATATAAAATAAAATTAAAGATTAGGAGGGTTAATAAAAACTTTTGTAGAAAAAGTAATGTGAATACATTTATATTTATATTTCCTAATATTTAAAGTAAGTTGGTTTAACTTTTGAGAATCTACCTTTACAAAGTAATGGAGTTTGTAATTTTGAATTTATAATTTGTAATTTTATTTTTGTTAACAAGTGCCACGTGGGGGGGTATTTGTAAGTTTTTAAGGGTTTTTTTGCCATTTTAAAAACTTTTGGGGGGCCATGTAATTTTATAGGGTACCCAGAACTGGAACCGGAACTGTTGTTACAGGTTCTGGTTCTGGGTACCTAGGAACCGGAACCGTCGGTTCTGGTTCTGGTTTCAAATTTCAAGGAATCATCGGTTCCGGTTCCAGTTCCTTCTAAAAGTGCAGGGCACTCGGAACCGAACACCCCTACTCTCTATAGTCATAATGTTGGGACCAATTAAATTTATTACTATAAGAGGTTATAATTTAATAGAGGTGTAGTTACAAGAATTATTGCTTTGATTTCTTATTTTATAATTCATGTTTTAGCAGTATTATGATTTCAATTCATTGTTTTAGTAGCATTAGGATAGTACGGAAATGGATATCAAAGAGTTACTATAAAATTGGTGATTAGATTCGCATTTCACTACATAACAAATGATATTAATATCTTTCTTGATTTCCCAATAAGCAACAAGTCATTATGTTTACTGAAGAGAAATCATTATTGGAATTAAACAGAAGAGAATGGAGATAATCCTGATGATGATGTACGGAATACCAAAAATTTCATGCCAAGAAACTCTAACACATGTTTGAGACTAAAATATTTTGGCTTTAACAAGAAGAAGTTCATGCTGGCAGCTTATTATGTACCCGTAAGTTAAAAATGTAGTAAACAACCTCTAAAGTATAAATCATTATCCCAAACAACTTTAGATAAATATTTATTTCATCTTAAATTTTTAATATAACATAACATATATTTTTTGCGATAACGTATAATTATTACTATTGTAGAGTCAAGTTCCTTAAGATGAGACTTAAAAAAATATAACTTATTACAATTGTGAAATTTATTCTTATTTTAATAACTGACCCAAGTTGGACTAGAGTTCTACATACATACATACATACATATAGATATATATAGATATATGTGTGTGTGTGTGTGTGTGTGTGTGGTAATTTTTTGTGGGCAGGCAACAATTACCTCATTTTTAAGGAATTCATCATAAAAAACAATTTTTTCAATTTCCACCCTAAATAAATTTGATTTCTTATTTAATTAATAAACACATTTCAATTGAATTCAAAAATTACATGCATGACATAGAAAAATAGGTTACTTATTTGAACAAGAAATCATTTTATGACACAAGTCACAGACAATGTCATATTGCATCATCATTTTGAACAATTCAAAATCAAATTATTAACATTAAAAAAAAATTAGCCATATAATCATGTATTATAAGATAATTTAATCAAATTAAATATCATGCAAAATATTACCTCATCATGCATATCAATAATCCAATTCATCATATGAATTAATAAACTCATAACTTGATGATCCTAAGATTATTGTTTTTTCTTATGATTGGTAGGATTTTTAATACTTCTCATTGGATTTTGGCCTGAATTGTTATTTTTAATTACAGTCATTTTATGTTTCAGGCCTAAATCCTGTTTTGGAGAGAAACAAGCAAATTGAGCCGTTGGACCCAGTTTTGATCGTAGTTTAGAAGATCATAGAGGTTCTGAGGTTGATTGGAAGCACTCTTGAAGCTTGATTTGATCGAAAACCAAGAAGAGTGAAGATTCAAGTGAAAAGACAAGATGAGGCAGTTCCGTAAATTCAACCTAAAATAGAACTTACCCGCGGCGAAGAAAAGCTTCGCTGCTGTAACGGAAATTTTGTTTTTCTAAACGATGTGTTTTGCGTCTAAGGCTTATTGTCCAAGGATTTTAGGTTAATTTTAAAGAAAAGTAGTCTATTTTTTTATGGAGAGTTCGTCATTTTAAAGGATTTTGAAGAGAAGAGAGTTTTTGAAGATTTGTGCTCCAAATTAGAGAAGATTTCTCTCTCTCTTCCTTTGTTTTGTTGAACTAGTATTTCCATTTTGTTAATGTGATTTTGTTTTATCATGAGACTAATATGTTTAGTTAGTTTTGATGATCCTTGATTTTACTTGCTTAATCTATGATTTCTTTTGTTCTTGAGTTTATTGTTGTGATTAAGTGTTATCTCCGTTTTTATTGTTTTTTGGATGTTGGGTTTTCATCAAATAACTTGTTTGAACATGTTGAGGCTGAGAAGCAATTCATGTGTGGCTTTAGGGAGATACCTTTGGTTGAGCGAAAACTAAGATAGATAAACGCGACCTTAGTAATAGTTTAAGATTCTACATGCTTAAGAGAACGGAACTATTAAGTCCGATCTTTGGGTGCGGAGGTCTTAATAGTAATAGGTGGGATGGTATAACCCGAGAGGGATGCCAACATCTTAGGTAGATCGTTTTTAGTCATCACAATAGAATTTGAACAATTGGAATTTGTAGGTTAATTAGTTAGAACTTGTGAAGTTAAAAGCCCTAACTTCTTTGTTTTAAAAGTTTAATCCATGCTTTAATTATTGTTGTTTTAATTATTATTACCCAAAAAAAGTGTTGTTTTATTTCTGCCAAGTTTTAATACTTTTTTTAGTTTTAATTCATTTTGTCCCCATCAATTCAAATTCTTTATGTTCTTCATAGTGATAATTAGAAATATCAGTATTTAATACACAATCTCTGTGGGACATACTCATTTCACCTCTCTATTACTTTTTAAGACCGTTGCACTTGCCACTTTGCATGTATTTTAGCTAACCACACATCATAACTGTATTGCCATTAAATTTCCACCACTAAAGAGTTGCAACATTTGCACATACTTCAAACATAAAACCCTTTAATCAAATTAACGGGTAAAACTTTTAGCATGTCAAAGTTTGGAAAAAAAACATATGAGCTTTTAAAAGAATCATCTTCCAAGCATATTACATCAAAACATGAATGAAATGATAAAGTTTTTATGGCAAAAATTTAGTCATGGCCAAACATGACAAAGAAGATCAAGGGAGCCAAACAAACACATGCATGTAGTTCTCATACATCCATGCAATAACCATCATCCCTGATACATTATCACATTTTAACTTATCTAATCATAGAGCAAGATAAAAAAACACACTTTCTCAAGTTGCTTAATACTTCTTATAGATGATATATTAATTTATGTCATTACCATAAGCTGTTTACAAACTGTTTCAAAACATCCAATAAACTAATCACACACGCGCCGGACTTTGCATCTAGTTGAGTATTATTTAAAGAATTTTGACAATAAAAAAGTTTAATTTTAATTCCTTAGAGTACAGAATGCCTGCTTAAAAAAAAAAAAAAAAAACACAACTTGCCGACATTTATCATTTGAATCACATTTTTATTTCTTATTACAACTTATTTAACCTTATTATTTTAAAGCAATAAAACTATACTTACAAGTTTTTTATACAACCTGAGATGATAGTTTGTGATTGGTCGTTTAACATTTGGATAGACCGAAACCTTTTACGAGATGATCAATTGTAGTTGTCACACTCAGGATTGTATAAAAAATGTTGTATAAAATTGTAAATGTAGTGATGGTCATTAAGAGTCAACCAGCAGCAGTGACGAAAACTTAGATACATTTCCACTCACTTATCCACTCCCCTCCTCATTTTTTAATCTCACATCAATATGATCCTCCTCGCCTTTCGCTGGAAAATATTCCCTTCAGATTCTGCCATACTATTGTCTAAACAACGCCAGTTTGGGGTGTAACAAGGCTTGGCGCCGGACCGATATTGCCGTCGATTTTGGCTATAAATGTGCCGCCTGAGAGCCTTTCTTTCCTGAGTTCACAGTTTGCTCGATGCTCATTGCTCGGTAAATTCCATTGGTTACCAATCTGCAAAAATCAACACAAAAATTTAGACATGAATTACCGCAAGAAAGACAAAAAAAGGGATGAGTTCTTTTAACGTAAATGGTCAACATAAATTTTCATCCATACAATCCAATGATTTAAGAGTTGATGAGATCACAATGAAAATAACGACCTCCAACTTTCATCTTATATTCAATAGAATGAAATATTCATGTCAGCGAATTATCATCTCATTTAAGTTAAAATTTTAAATAAGAAGATCTTATCCCAAAAAAAAAGGGCTATTTTGTGAGGAGCATCACCTCTAGCATTTCCCCGATTATGATGACAAAAGCGTTTGGTACGGTTTAACGGGGACCCAGATGCCGCTTTCTTGATTGAAGCCTTCCATTTCATTGAGCTGAAGAGAATTGTGAGGCCGACATTGTCAGAGTGAGATTGAGCCCATAACGAGCTCTGGTTGTGGACATGGCGGGTAGTAGTTTAATCTTATGCCTTGTATTCCTTCTTCAAAAAATCTTTAATGTCATCGGCTTCCATTTCTTAACGCTTTTGCCATATGGTTCAGATTTCATGGCTAGAATTTTTAATTCGGCCGAATAAGCTTTCACTATCTCACTTATGTAAGCAAACGAAGTTCAGGATTTTCATGGCTAGAATTTTTATTCTGCCTTCCTGTTCAGCATTAAGACATAAACAATAAAAATTCTCTTCAATTAACCAATTACGTAATTTTGTTAAATATTAAGAGTGTACATCCTAGTATTTTAAAATGCAGAATTTAGATAAATTGAACAAAACTTCGTTGCGGTAGATAAATATCTCTCTGAAGTTAAAAGAACAGATTGATAGAAGAAACCTGAAGGGAGAGGGAGCTTGGGGTAAATTGGGTTTCCTCAAATTGGGGAGGCTGATAACAAAAAACGCGTCTGACCAATTAAGCTTCTGCTCCGGATACAACAAACGCCTCCCCAAATCTTCTATTCTCCTGGTTCTTTCCACACTTCTTCTTCTTCTCCTCCATTGGCAGAATTGAGAACTTCCTTCAGTCTCTGCCTTCAGTTTCTCCAGCAATGAACTGTCTCATCCTGGTTTATTAACTGCAAATTAAACATTTCCATCTTTACAATTCTATATAACAATTTCCTCGCATCAAGAAATTAACTTTTAATTTTTTAATTTTTGAGAATCTAAAAATATCTCGGCACTTGCTTTGCAAGCCCAATTTCGAAATCGGAGCCTCCGACAACCTTGTAATCTTTGGGAAGCAAGAAGGTGTTCATGAGGGGCTTTGACCCCAAATCTTGTGGGAGCAAACCGCAAACTTGACCATCCAGCTAGTTCTTATGGACGCGTCAAGATATTAATGAGAATGATTTTAAAAAACTGGGATGTATACAAGAGAGAATGATTAAACCTGAAAGAAAACCCATTCTTTGAAAGCATGGTGAAACTTGTCGAGTTCTGAATCCATGGAATCTGGAGAAAGCAGCTTTGACATGTCGGTAACGGGAACTTGAGGCAAAGAAGAAGTGACGTTGGATAAGGAAGGGGAGTCTTGATCGGGACGAACATAACGTGGTGGAACTGCAGCCAGAGACTCGTTTGCCAGCTCCTTAACACTAGGCACAGGGGAAGATTTCCAGGACGTTTTTATTGTTGCCTCCATGGATGAACGATCGATCTTCTTTCCAAAAGACTACCGCTCTTTCTGTTTATATAGACAGTTTTTCTTTTAAATTATTGGTCAGACGATTGGAATTAATCATCGAGTAAAGAGCCTAGATTCTAAGGTATGATATAATGACTAAAATTGTCTTTATACTATTTATTTTAACATTATATCATTTTTTTATATAATTTTTATTATGTTCGATATAGTATATGTCATAACTACATAAATTTTTAATTATTTTAAATTTTTAATATTATAATAAAATTTATGTGATTATAACATATACTAAATCATAATATTTATAAAATGATATAAAAAAATGATATAAATATAATATTATTTTAAAATTTAACAGAAAAATTTCAATTATTTATTTCAAAATTGTCTGGATTTACCCTTGACCAACCACGTGGTTTTAAAATCTAGGATAGATCTTGGATTCATCTAGAAGGAACGGTATCTTAGTATCTTGTCATTAAAGACTAAAATACCCTTGATATGAGGCTGACTGTATTGACTTAAAAATAAAATAGTAATGAATCTGTCAAAAATCTTTTTAAACATGTATCATTCATGAATTATAGGGTATGTTAATATATAATTACAAAAATCCCTTATCTGAAAGACATTTTCAAGGTTATATTAAATTAATCCTTCCGATGGGGTATATTGAATTACACAAAAAGTTGCAGGTGCAACATTTTTTTTTCAACAAATTATTGATCCATCAATACTAGAAAAGTTTGAATTCATCATCTTAATAATAATTTATCGTAAAGCAGTATTCACTACCTAATGTTTTTGTCTTTCTTTTTGATTTCATTTATTTATTTATTTTTTTAATCTGGGTTTATACAGATATTAAATAGATATTATTAAATTAAATACTATTTTAACTTGAAATTTTTAATATTAAGTTGAATTAAAATATTTTATGAACATAGTATTGATTAGGAATTATGTATTTGTCTGATACTTCATCCCCATCAAAACTCGCCTACTTTAATTAAACAGTCACATGGATTTAATTAAACTTTGGAGAAGTGCGTCAGAAGGAAAAAGATAAAGGAGAATTAACAAAATAATTTACGATTGCAAAGCATAAATTTCATGTACGTTGTATTTACGTGATCTTGATCAAACTCTCAATTGCATAAATTTTGTCTTCATTGTTCAAAAATAAAATACAGCTTATGATTGAAAGAAAAAATAAAATTTTAGATACGTATAACTCTTTTATGACTTATTTAGTAATTTTAATAAGACATAAAATTGTAATTAAAAACGTAATAATAATTGGGGTCTAAAGAGATCAAATGTGGGGGTCAATAGTATCACTCATTTTAAAAGTGGATTCATATAATTTTCCCTCCTATAAGATTGTTTATACTTTATATTAAACTCGTCTACTTGGTTTAGAAGTATAAATATCTCATATTTGGAGGTATATTTTGCACGAGGATGTTTGATACAAATGTGAGGATGTTTGACAGTTTGTGATATTATAGGGGTGTTTTTAATACTTTCTGAACAAAGCGAATGATTTTAATGGTTAACCATCTCACAGGGGGCAAAAAAAAATAATTTAAAAAAATATATATAAAGTCAGTCTTCTGTCGACCGAAATCCTATTATAGATACATATACATCATATTCATAATTGATAATACAATTAGAAAGTTGGCTTTTGTCAGATTTGACTTTCAATTTTCTTGCTGCAATTCTGGAAGATTTGGTGGAGAGGAAAGAATTTCCTTGATAAAATTAAATTTATTGTTCTAGAAGGCGAAAATGAGACAAGTCATTAGTTATTTGGTTGAAAATTTAAGGAAATTATTAATTGGTCCGCGTACAGGACAAACTTTTTGGTGGGTTTTTCCATCGTTGGGTTTATCATATACAGAACTTCATTAGAAAATTTAATGGTGAATTATTGATTCATTTTATGGAAGAAAAAAATGTGCTCATATTCAAAGCTTGTTTCACCGAGCTTATAAAAATTAGCTTATAATTAGTTAGTGCTTATAAAATAATTTGAGTTTATAAGCATTGAAATTTGAAATTTACGCAGTTACGTGTTTGGTAAAATATGATTTATAAATATATTTTATTATTAAAATGACTTAAAAAGATGCTAATGAGCGGTGAAATGATTTATATATTCCGTGATTTTATGGGTAGATTGTGTGAAATTCATGACTTTAATGGATTATTTTTATGCAAACTTCTTTATATATTTCTATTTTCAAGAATCACGGGTATGTGTATGAGTTTTAGGTTTTCAGACGGAAAAGTGATGATTTTATGCTCGCACGATGGTTGGAGGCCTTGGACGTGCGAAGAAAGAGAAACAAGATCATTGAGAGGAAAAGAAATGAAAAATAACTCGATAGTGCTGCGGCAGGGTCCGTGGCGCGAAAGAGTGATTAGGGCAAAAAGATTGTGCCACGGTGCCAAAGAGTTCTAAGGTTTGAGGGCGAATTCGATGCTGCAGTGCCACAAAATCATGCTGCAGCGTGGATCATGAAGAAAAGAAAAATTTTACCTTTTTCCAACTTCGACTTGAACTTGTACTTTCCCAAAAACACCCATAGCAAAGAAAAAGTATAAATAAGACATTGTAATTTATTTTAGGGATAATTCTCTTTGACCTAAATTGAGAGCTACTTTGTAGCAAGAAAGAGAAAGAGATTCTTTATAGGGTTTTGGATTATTGATGCTTTTGGGGGAATTGAGGTTTGTTTCTTTATATCAATATGTAACTAAATTCTTCTCTAGGGATCCAATGTAGCCTAATTGGAAGGCTTTGTTTTGAACATAAGTTATTGTTATCAATTTAATGGAAATCTTGATTCATTCATGTTATTAATTTAATCTTTAATTTTTATTATTGTGTGACGACACTTAATGTGGATTATTAGGTTGTATGTGTTGAGATTAGATATATATTATGTTTTAATCTTGAAGAACTCATGTAAATGAATGATTAGTACTCTGTGCATACGCCCAGACAGATGTGTCTTTATTCTTGATTTTAAGTATTCTTGTGTTTAATGGGTTTTTAATTCACAGGCTAGACTATACGCCCTAGTTAGTCTTGTGTTAAAAATACTAGGTTAATCCCGAAAGCCTTATAATAATATCTTGATTTAGTGAGTGTGAACCCTGGAGAGTGAATTGATAAAAAATGGATAGATGGTTGACATAGATTTAGATAGTTATGGTGGAATTGGAGCCCTAGATTTGGTCAATTGGGTTTTAGATAATTTTATAGTTGTTTAATTTTAGTTTTAATCAGTTGTTGCTTTTCAAGAGATTTTCCTTAATTCTTTATTATTAATTCTAGTTATTAGTTTTAATTGAATCATAGTTATTAGGATTAGTAAATTGCTTACAAATCTTTGTGGGATTGACCATTGCTTTTGCACACTAAACTACGATAGCGATTCATGCACTTGCGAGGTTATATAATTGTTCATCAAGTTTTTGGCGCCATTGTCGGGGATTTGTTTTAAGTTATTTAGTTTTCTTGATAACGTGTGCATTAATTATTGTTATTTAATTTAATTTGTATTATTCTTATTTGGGTTATTTTTTGTTTTCGTTTTCGTTAGTTTTTTTTGAATGCAAGGTGGTAGATCATTGGATAAAACCTATTTCCTTACGTTGATAGAATAGACTTGATTGGTCGAAAGAGAATGGAACCCAAGATTTCCAAAAATTCATCAGATTCAAGTTTCGAACTAGAGATAATAGCTGAATTATCTCGTCCTATGAAGGAGTATGCACGCCCGATTATAGGAACATCACCATCTTGCATAGTTCTGAATGATGCAGCAAAGAATTACGAGCTGAAGCATATTCACTTTCAGATGTTACCTTTATTCCATGGCATAGCCACAAAGGACCCTTAATGTTTATTCGTGTTTTTTATTCTACTGTTCAAACTTTTCCTTTACAGAGTTTGACAGAAGACCAATTGTGGATGCATTGCTTTCCTTACACATTGAAGGATGCGGCTAAGAGATGGTTCATGACTTTGGCCCCAGCTTCACTTACCATGTGAGATGCAGTTTACAACAGATTTATAAGTAAATTCTATTCTCATGCTAAGACTAAGGAATTGCAAGGTAAGATTGTCACCTTAGTCAGATAGAAGGTGAGCCGTTCCATGAGGCTTGGGAGCAATTTAAATTGCTTTTGATTCAATGTCCGCATCATAGATATCCTTTAGAATTGCCTAATCAATTTTTCTATGATGGACTGACACAGGCTTGCCAAGCCATAATTGACAATGTTGCAGGTGGTGTTATGGGAGAAAAGACTGTACAAGAGACATATGAGACATATGAGCTATATGAGATGCTTGGAGCAAATTCCCAGTAGAAAAGTGTTAAAGAAAGATCTAAAGGAATTTATGAAGTAAACAATAACACTGAGCTAACAATGCAGGTTTCAGAATTGACTAAGCAAATGAAGACTATGTACAATATGAGGATGGAACAAGGACAAAGTAACTCTTCAGAGGTATGTGCTATTTGTGGTAATATTGGGCATACAACTAACATTTGTTCTTCTAGTGAGTTTTCCAAAGTATTTAGAGCAAGCTAATATGATGAACTCTTACAACCTGAGGCCTAAATATGATCTATTTTCAAATACGTACAACCCGGGTTGGAGGAGTCATCCCAATTTTTCCTGGAGTAACAACCAACAACAAGGAAGTTCTAACAATCAACCATTGAAACCCTCATTGGAAGAGACGTTGAATAATTTTATTCAAGTTTCTCAAAAAAACCAACAAAATATTGAACAGAGATTTCAGTAGCAAGAGGCATCCATTAGAAAGCTGGAGGTTCAAATAGGATAGATAGCAGAGGCAGTACAAGGTCATGTTCCTGAGAAATTACCAAGCCAACCTGAGCAAGCGAAAGCAGTCACAATGCTTCAAAGTGGTAAGTTAATTCACAAGGAAATTAATTTTGAATCTAATAAGCCTTTAATTGATCATATAGGGGAAGATAAAGTGAATGAGAAGCAATCACTTGTATCCATTCAGAATGAGGAGATCAGCTCCATTGTTGCTCCGCCAAAGCCTTATGTTCCACCTATTCCTTTTTCAAGTTGATTGAAGAAAAACAAATGGGATAAGTCATTCTCTGAAATTTATGATATTTTTATCTAAAGTTAATGTGAATTTACCCTTGCTTCATGTGACAAGGAATATGTTAGCTTATGCAAAGTTCTTAAAGGATTTGATTACTCACAAGCGTAAGTTTGAACCTAATGAAAAAGTAATGGTTCTTGAAAAGCTAAGTGTTGTGCTTCAAAGGAATTTGCCACCCAAATTGAAAGATTCACATAGCTTCATCATCAACTTTACCGTGGGTGATAGAAAGGAAGATCAAGAAATGTTAGATTTGAGGGCAAGCATTAATCTCATGCCTTACTCCACTTATCCATGATAAGGATTCGGGGAATTAAAGCCAACAACAATGTCTCTACAACTGGCTGACAATTCAATAAAATATCCAAGAGGTATTGTAGAGAATGTCTTGGTTAAAGTTGATAAACTAATAATTCCTGTTGATTTTGTAGTCTTAGATACGGAGAAGCCATCAACGCATGATAAAGATTTGCCCATTTTGCCCGGCTGCCCATTTATGGCTACAACTAAGATAGTGATTGATGTTCAGAATGACAGGCTCACTATGATGGTTTTGGATGAAACAGTGGAGTTCTTAGTTTTCGATTCCTTGGCATTTTCCTCAGATTCCAGTGATTGAGCTTGATAGATCACGCATTTCATCTAGCCTAGACATTAAATAAAGCACTTCTTGGGAGGCAACCCAACTTTTTACTTTTTACTTTATGTTAATTTCATTTATGGTTTTATTTTCTTTAGTTTTTCAAGTGTTTTTGTTCTTTTGTTTTAGGTTAATTAGTTGTATTTTATGGTTTAGTTGTTTGTAGCAAAAGAGCTTCACGCCGCGACGCAAAATATTTATGTCACGGCGGAGCAAGGAAGAGACATAAGCAGTTTAGGCAGCAACTTGATGCCGTGGCGTGATGAAAATGGTGCCGCGACGCCACACATGTTTTGATGATGTCTCTAAAGGGGGTAACTTTCTCTTTCCTTTTCTGTTTTTCCTTTCTAATTGTTACATTGAGGACAATGTAGGTTTTAGGTTGGGGTGGGCAAGTTCCCTTTTCCTGAATTTTCTTAATTTAATTTAATTTTTTTTTAATTTTCGTGAGGTTTGGTGTGTTTTTATTTTATTTTTAATGGAGTGTGTTTCAGTTTTTCTGGATTAATTTATATGTCAATGATAATAACATGATTGCAATGACATAAGCATTTAGAAGAAATCAAAATTTACTTTAGTTTGGGAATAATTTTGGATGTTGGTTTTGCCTAAGTTTGAGACTCTCATGTTTGTGGTTTGTCTGGTTGGTTAATTCTAGCATTTAGGGATGTTTTATGTGTAATTATCCTGTGACATTTTTTTAGATCTCCAAATTCTAGAACCTATTTGATGACCACTTGAGTCGAAATCCTAGACGACACATGACTGAAGAAATGACTTAGGTCATCTTCGAACCGTTTGTGCCTTTCAAGCCAACTCTATATTTTATTATCTCTTGTCACCCTTTTGTGCTGATCTTGAATTTATATTAGCCTTGATTTTCTTTCATTTATCCCACAATAACATACCCTTTTAACCCTTAAACACACTAATCTACCCATGATTTTTAAGAGGATTTAATCTAAATATTACTAGAAGTGAGAGTAGGAATGTGTGTGGCTTAGAGTGATTTCTCAAAATTTTGGGTTTTTCAAAAGAATGGGTTCGAGGTTGTGGTGTATTGTGAATATCAAGGTAACAAGGAGAATGATTGTAATATCCATGTTTCTAACTATTGTTTCATTCCAAAAATTTAAAAAAAAAAAATTTGAAAAAAAGGAAGAAAAAGAAAAAAAAGAAAAAAAAAATGAATGAACCAAGTAATTATGGAAAGTGTGTAAATGCAAATGTGGTTGGGAAGAGAGACGTAACAAAGGCTTGGGAAATTTAGAGAGAATGTGATATGCTTTGAGCGATATTGTTGCAAATAAGTAAGATTAATCCTCTTATTTTGTTTGATTCATTTCCATTCTTTCATAGCCCAATACCTTAGCCTAAACATTACAAGCTCAGTAAAGTCCTAATGATCTAAAGTTGTGTGATTGTTCTACATTAGTGGAGAGTGATTTGAAAAGCAGGCCTATGGAGTTTGTATTTACAGAATTTTATTCATTTTTCATAATTATTGGGATCAATTTTTTTTGTCTATGGATGTTGCTTATGAAATTATTTCTGGTGTTAGGATTGACAGATTGGGGATTGATGGATGTTAGAGAGTTGAGAACGAAGGTGAGATTGATGTTTGAGATGTTCCTAGATTTGAGGTGATGTTTGATTATTCTTTATGTTGTGTGTATGTGATTTCAGAGACACTTATATGAATTAGGTTGGAAACTTCTGTTTTATTTTTATCATTGTGTGAATGTTTGTGTGCTAGTTAGGATTTGTAGGATGTTTGTGGGTAACATCACTGTAAACCCTCACGAGACTATAACTTGTCCACTAGGGGGACCTAGGGGTTTAAAGGCTCATTACATATGCTAAATGCAATCGTGGCAGCCTATGAAAAGAGTTTAGTTTAAAGTTGTTATAGTAGGGGTTAGGTTATTTTCAATTGCTTTAATTGCTAAAGACTAGTAAGACATTGGTTAGGGGTTGTGATAAGTGGTGAAATGATTTATATATTATGTGATTTTATGGGTAGACTGTATGAAATTCATGACTTTAACGGATTATTTTTATGCAAACTTTTTTATATATTTCTATTTTCAAGAATCACGGGTATGTGTATAAGTTTCAAGTTTTTAGGTGGAAAAGTGTCCTCGCACAATGGTTAGAGGCCTTGGACATGCGAAGAAAAAGAAACTAGAGCATCGAGAGGAGAATAAATGCTAAACAACTGGATGACGCTATGGCAGGGGTTTTCTATGTCACAACGCGAAAGAGTGATTAGGGCAAAAAGATTGGGTTGCGGTGTGAAGAATTCGGCACCGCAAAAGAGTTTTAAGGTTTGCAGGAGAATTCGGCACCGTGGCGCCACAAAATCACGTCATGGCGTGGATTGCAAAGAAAAGAAAAAATTTACCTCTTTCCAACTCTGACTTGAACTTGTATTTTTTCAAAAACACCCCCAGCAAAGAAAAAGTATAAATAGGACATTGTAATTTATTTTAGGGATAATTCTCTTTGTTCTAAATTGAGAGCCACTTTGTAGCAAGAAAAAGAAGGAGATTTTTCCTAGGGTTTTGGATTATTCATGTTTTTGGGGGAATTGAGGTTTGCTTTCTTTATGTCAATGTGTAACTAAATTCTTTTCTAGGGATCCAATGTACCTTAATATGAAGGCTCTGTGTTAAAACATATGTTATTGTTATCAATTTAATGGAAATCTTGATTCATTCATATTATTAATTTAATCCTTAATTTTCATTATTGTGTGACGACACTTAGTGTGAATTATTAGATTGTGTGTGTTGAAATTAGATATATATTATGTTTCAATATGGAAGAACTCATGTGAATGAATAATTAGTACTTTGTGCGTACACCCTGGCAGAGTATTAGTAGGTTCATGATTTCTTGAATAATTAATGTTTGTATATGTGCTTTGATAGATACGCCTTTATTCTTGATTTCAAGTATTCTTATGTTTAATGAGTTTTTAATTTACAAGCTAGACTATATGGCCTAACTAGTCTTATGTTAAAGATACTAGGTTAATTCCGAAAGCCTTACGGTAATATCTTGATTTAGTGAGTGCGAACCCTAGAGAGTGTATTGATAAACAATAAATAGATGATTGACATAGATCTGGATAGTTATAGTGAAATTGGCGCTCTAGGTTTTGGTCCACTGGGTTTTAGATAATTTTATAGTTGTTTAATTTTAGTTTTAATTAGTTGTTGCTTTTCAAGTGATTTTCCTTAATTCTTTATTATTAATTTTAGTTATTAGTTTCGATTGAAGTATAGTTATTAAGATTAGTAAACTGCTTACAAATCTCTATCGGATCAACCATTTCTTTTGTTTCACTAGTTAAACATGTATAAACTACCTTCTACATAGAAATCTAAACATTTAGGGAAGACTAAAACGAAGAAACGATAAAGCGGAAACTTATTAGAAACTTGGCCTGGAAGCATCATCATCACTATCGTCAAGAACGAGTTTGACTCCATTGTTCTTGAGCGCATTGACAATTGCCCATATTTTGGTGCGGTTCTTGAAACCTTTTTTCTCAACTTCTTTGTTTACATCGACATGAATCCCTCTTCCTTGTGCTTGTTCAAGGCCCTCCACTTTGAGTCGCATAGCCAAGACCTCTCCCACAACTGTTGCCGCCTTGGCATTGCAGGATCGACCACATTCAAGGGAGTTTTTAATAGAATGTTCAACTGTAGATGCTGTTGCAACAATCCGCCCATTGTTTCTGTCCACTACATTTGCTGTAATGTACTTCAATGATATGAACAACCGCAAAACATACCTCTTCAAAACCGTCATCCTTCGCTATATTCCTGATCAGTTCATCAGATTCGAACTGGTCATAAGTCGTATGTCTCACCCAACAAACAAGGAACAAAATACGTGAAACTAATAAGTAAATTTCTTTATACATTTACATGATTTCAACTTACCCAATCATTCCACTGATTTCTACATGCTCAAACAAACTTGTGATAAAAGAATCTAATAAGTATTCTATAACGTAGTTTGAATAACATTACAGAAATGATTCAACAAGTACCCTACTACATAGATAGCACTGAACATTACAATATATTTACAAAAGAATACTCCAACACTATACGCCTATTTTGAACACGAAAATCAGACGATATTTAGAGCGAGCACAGAACAATGCATAATCGGATTATTGAGTAGGATATAAATACATTGCATAATAAACTTATTTATACATAGTAATATGAATTTGATATAGTTCGTATAATTTTCCATTTTGTATTCCAGATACTCTCAGTATTAGAAACAACATCTTGAATAACTTTAAAACATCCATAAAACAAGATTTACCCAGTTCGAAACAAGAGAATCCCTCACTTGGGTCATTATAAACTTTAACAAAAAGCTTCAAAACTGATGAACAGAACAACCCCTACAGCCGCCGCCCAAAAAAAAAAAAAGGTCCTGTGAGGAATATTGTCAAGCAGGTTATGTGTGGACCTGAAATGCTCAGTGCTATTGAAAAAACGTGAAAGATTATCCAACAAGACAATAAATTTCACCAACGGGTTTAAATAATTTAGTTAAGCCAGCTCATTTCATATTTGTTTGAGTGAAATTCAGGTAAATGAATCTAAACAAGTATCAGAGGCAAACAATAGCACATCAAAATACGTGAAAACTCTAAACAAAAACAACATGATAAATAAAAATTTAAAGTTAAAAGATTTACCTTTGGTTCGGACTTGAAAAGGGGCTGCAGCCCGTTCGCGGTAAGTGTGAGGGTGGCTGTTTACAGTCACGTAGACCGGGAAATTTTGAGAACAAAAATGAGGCTTAAAATTTTATTCAAATTTTTTAGAAGAGTAAACAACATTTTCCCACCCAAGGTTTGGCAAATCTACTTGCTCACCCCTGGTTTCATAAATTATATATTCCCACCCTTAAATTAATATCGTAACTTTTCTCTCAAAATAACCTCCACATCTCAAATTTCTCTCAAATAACTCCCAGAGGAGATCCTGGCCAAGCCCAAAATCCGGCCTAATTCTAACATCATTAAACCTCCTCGACACCACCATCAACATCCCCTTACCCCCTTATCGAAACCCTTAACTTTTCCACCTGATTGCACCTCAGCGAGGTGTTAGAATTTGGTTGAAAATGAGCGACAAAACGCAAAAACCTAAGGGAGAGGCAGTGGTGATCGGCGGGCAATTACGATCGGTGATGTTAAGGGTTTTGGTGGGTGGAAGCTGGTGATGCTATATTGGTGGTCTTAGGGTGGTTTTCGATGCCGAGGCATGTTGGAATTTGGATGAAACGCCGACTAACATTAAGAGTGGCGGCCGGTGATTGGGGAGTTTAATTAGGTGGAGAGGTTAAGGGGTTTTGGTGTGGGCTTGAGGGGATTGTAATGGTGATGTCGGGAGGGGTTGACTGCGTTGGAAATAGACCGGAATGGCCTAAAATCGCCGATAGGGTGAATTTGAGAAGTGAAGGGTTATTTTATATTTTCCGGTGGAGTGGATTTGAGAAGTGAAGGGTTATCTTGAAATTTTTATCTTTGAAATGACCATTTTACCTTTTTAAATGTTAGATTGAATAGTTTTCTGTTAATTTGAGAATTTGTAATTTATGAAATTAGGGGTGGAAACATAGATTCGCCAAACCTTGGGTGGGAATATGTCGTTTACTCTTTTTAAAGTCATTTGGGCCAAGTCAGTCCCGGCCCAGCCTAGCCAGATAACAATCCTTCCGGGTAAATTATTTATGAAAATGAGAAATAAAACATGCTAATTTCTGGATTATTTTTTTTTTTTTTTTTTGTTTTACCTTTTTCAGTTAAATGAAATAAATAATCTGGTTTGTTGTTTTTAGTAGCAAGAGCCCAATCAAATGCAATTGACCCTTAATGTTTTTGTATACTTATTTCCTTCTTAATATTTAAAATTATTTTGATGTAATAATTGATTTGAGAGTTAAAAAATAAATTTAAAAAACTTCTTCTTTTAATATTTTTCTGAAAATTTTGAATTTTTATTATTTTTTTTTTCAAAATGAAGAATAAATGGATTCTTATTAATCTCATTAAAATTTTAGTACAACAAGACCACCCTATATTGATATTTTATATAAGAATAATCTCAATGTAGTTATAAAAAAATTTAATCCTAGCTTGGCCAGTTATAAATTAGAATAAACTCCACATTATAATAAATTATAATTTTTTTAGGTTCTGTCTTAAGGAATTTGTCTTCACATAGTAATAATTATTTGTATATTGCAAATAATATAAATTATGTTTCATTAAGGGTGTGTTTGGTTGGAGATAATAGGGGATTACTAAAGTAATGTCATCTTATATTACTTGATTACCACGTTTGATTGTCAAGTAACATAAAATTCCAGAATTTTCCAAAACTAATAGTAATTACTATTTGTAATATAGGAAGTAATCTAATTATCTCAATTTTCTTAGGTATTTTAAGATTACTTAGTAATCTTATTTTTGTTACAATTTTACCACTTATTAGTAATTTTTTTTGACAAAAATACCCTTATTTTTAAATTAATTTACATGAACCTGCCATTACAATTTTACCCCTAATTAATTAAATTTTTGGACATTAATGCCCTTGTATTTAAAACAAATTTTAGGTCACCAAAACTACCACTGCCGGCCACCTCCGCTGGCGGCCGATCGTTAAATGCCGATCACCTTCGCCGGTGGTCGATCGCCGAAAAGGCCCACGACTGACCATCTATGGCCGACCGTGCGCTGATCTAGCCAAATGGCTAGATCGTGAAAAATCTGGCTAAAAACGCTTAGAATGAACATTATTATTCTGGGAATCGTAACGGTATCACCAATATTTGACCCAGTAATAATCATTGCTTGGATGCACCACTTTCCTAAATGGGTTACAATCAATCTGGTCCCATTGCAAAAACCATCAGATTGATTTAAATTATGCAGTAACATAATCAGAATGCCAATTTTTAATTGCAATTTATGTTTCTGCATTTCGGAGCATATTAAAAAGTTAACGAATTCAGTTAGATACAGAATGTCATCATCATTTGAGATACCTACTACTTTGCAAGTACTGTCTGAATTGTGGTATGCCTTTCCATCTGATGGCAGGTTTTGAGTGATATATTCATTCAATGCATGTACTATTCCATTTTAGCTGTCAATATTGCTCTCTCTCTGATATACTTAACATTGTTTATCTGAGCTGCTCAATCTGGGAACACAACATTCACAATTGTTTCTTGGGGACTGTTATGTTGAGTGACCTTCAAATCCTCAGGAATTTGGATGTAACTTTCATCTTCTACAACGCCTGTTCCTTCTCTAATCTCAAGTAACCATTTGTCAAAAGCGTTCAACTCATTTAATTCTGTTGGGTTTCCTAAATTTTTCTTCAATCTCATGTTCTCTGTCAATTTCAACACCGTTACATGTTGCCAAAGGGAAGATGAGGATAAATAGGCTTGCATTATATCATGCTTTTTCCTTTTTGGTATAATTGGCAAAATCTGTCTGAAATCGCCACCCGGGGCAACAGTGACGCCTCCATATATTATATCTGCATTTGACTGATCTTTTTCAGACAAAATATCTCTAAAAGTTCTGTCAAGAACTTCAAAGCAATATATATTTTCCACGGGTGCTTCATCCCAAATTATCAAAGATGTTTCCAAAAGTAGTTTTGTTAATTGTGTTCCCTTTTTAATATCACATGTACTTTGCCCTATGGTATCTAAAGGTATTTTGAAACGTGAATGTGATGTTCTTCCTCCTGGTTGCACCAATGCAGCAATTCCTGAGGTAGCTATAGTGAGAACAATTTTACGTTCAGACCGTAATTTTGCTATGATTGCTGACCATAGGAAGGTTTTGCCTATTCTAACATGCCCGTAAACAAAAAATGGTATTCCTCTTTGATTGTTTACTAAATCAAGGATTGAATTATATATGTGTCTTTGGCAATTGTTGAGACCCTTGTATAAATCATTGTGCAGTGTTTTGTTGTTGTAATTGTCATAATTTAACTCCTCAAGAATTAATTTATTTTGTGCATTTTCAAAAGCAGAATGGTCCGAAATTGGCATTCCATGGAAATCAGCCAAGGACTTTCCTCCCTTTTAAACCAAATCTTCAATCTCGAGGAATGCATAGTCGTGAATATATTCAGGACTGTATTTCAATGCTATCATCTGTGATTTTTGTTTAAGAATGTAGGGAATATCTTTAGATAGCAAATCTACATTTGTTGTCCACAAGTCTCTTGGACTTACCACCTCATTAAATAAGATAATAGTTACAAAAAGTTGTCTTAACTACCTCCCGGTAGCCCATACTGATGCTTCAGCTAAACAATCATTCCACTTTTTATCATCATCTAGCAACCCTAATGCATAACATGCATCTTTGAATGTAGGGTGTATTAGTCCATTGACAGTTCTAATATTTTCAAATGATGTTGCTCCTTTGACTAAGTTCAAAAGCATTCGTAAATAATATTTCTCACCACTACCTAGATATGCAAAGAAGATCCTGCCAATACACTTCTACTTTTCTGTGGATACCATTCTCTTTGTTTATCATTCCAAACCCAGTCGGTTGGAAAACCAGAATAAGTCAATAATCTTGCGGAATCATATTGTTGATTACACTTCATCCACTCAGCAACAACTTTGCTTTCCAAATGTTCAACTAGACACTTATTTGGATTGAAGATAATTGTTTATTCATTCTCTAAGTGGAATGACAATCTTTCAACTCATGGTTCTCTGTAATACATGTCAAACTAAAATATCCTCTAACAAGTTTCCATAGAAGAGATATATCTGTAATTTTTGGTATTAAATTAATTAATATTATATTTATAACAAATATCAATTAATAATATAAAAACATTGTATTTGATGCGTTTGTATACATACTTGCAATCAAGATAAGCTTTTATTTCGTCTTTCCCGTCTAAAATAATGGATTCAACATTCTCTTGGCCGTTGTTATTAATTTCCACAGAAACTGTAATTCTATAGAGTCCTTTGCTCTGTTTTAAAAACCGGATCGGACCTGTTGGACCGGGAACCGGTAGCTTCTCCGGTCCGGTTTAGGTCTCAGGGGGGTTTTTAAAATATTTTAAAATTATGAGGGTTACTTTGTAATTTTATAGGGGTATTTTGAAGATATATCAAAAATTTAGGGATTAATTGGTAATTTTATTGGGGCATTTTTGGAATAAATAAAAATTTTAGGGACCAATTTGAACTTTTTAGGGGAATTTTTGTAATATATTGAAATTTAAAGGGTTAACATGTAATTTTTTAAAAATAAAATATTGCTGACGTCATCGATCCAACCGGTTGGACCGATTGAACCCTGACCCGGACAGCAAAACGGTTTGCCCTCCGATCCGGGTTTTAAAATAATGGTCCTTTGTTGACATACTTGAATAGATACTTGATTGATCTATGTTAATTACATATCTCAATATTTATGTGCTAATCAAACTTAACCAATAGATTCCTATTATAAGTAACAACAAAAAAGTTATTTAGTTTGACACCATTTTTCTAAACAAATGCTCCAGTATCCCATCTTCTATACACTGGGTATCCCTCATAATCTACAATTGTTTGATTCAATAATTTCTTTGGAAAATGTTTTTTACATTTGCCATTCTCCATGCATGGTGAATTTTTATTGAAGTCACCGCATGGACCATGGATCATGTAGTTCTCAACAACTGCAAAGGCAATATGATTATTTGGTATTTCAGTAGAGACCATTGTATCAATTTTGGATGCTGGAGGATTCTTATATTTGGGTGGAGGAAAACCAATATATGAGCATGTGGGAATTGGGAAGCTTCTCTTTTGGAACTCAATAGTATAGATTACTGTGAAAAATAGTATAATAAGTTAAGCTAAATCATCAATAAACCAAATATTTTAAAAGAAATAGACATTTTATTCATTAGATCACTTATTTGCTATAGTTTCACTTATATATATATATATATATATATATATTATCTCTTTCATCAGCTCAAGCAATTTTATTTCAAAAACTCTACAAACTGCAATTACTCTACCTTGTTGATCACATTCTCCAATAGAATTATATAGATATTGTATTTTTGGCCACTTGGGATTGCATGTGAATGTCACGAAAATATCTGGATATCTATAACGTCTGTAAATTGCCATTGCATCTTGATAATTTTGAACATGGTATCGGGGACTGCCAATGTGAGATGATGGTAGTAATGTAGATTTCTCTAGATGTTGTGCATTAACATCACCTTCTGAAATAGCATCCATCAATCCGTTGTACAAATCACTCCTTAGTATTTCCCGATTTTTTCTAATCCAACAAAAGCTTTCCTCTTCAATAGTCATATATGCATCTACAATATATTGCTATAATAATCTGCCCGATTTCATTAGAGTATGCCCTTCATACAATCTATACAACAATCTTGAGGCATAAAATTGTCTCATAGTTAGCTTGTTTCTCTTGGAAGAGTCTGTGTCCGCAAATTCCCTATGCTTAATGTCAATCCTATATTCATCTTCTCCATATAGGAATAAAATTGAATAACTTAATGCCAAAAAACTTGGATGAAAGCCAGTAATCCTTTGAAGACCTTTTCTTGAATGATAAACAATGACATCTTTTCCAACATCTGAAATTCCAATATTACCAACAATTAAATCAAAAATTTTAGATGCAGTTGGCTAATTGTATTGTCTTCCATCTTTTTCCTATTCATTTTTAATCACAAATGCATTTATGGAATATCATTCAAATGCATATGGTCCTTGGCAAAGCAAAAACTTTTTACCAATTCATTGTTCATATCAAACATCAATTGCAATTCCTGGACCAATTCTTGTCAAAGGTACTATCATCTGTATTAGCTCCCATACAATTTAATCTATGACTGGTTTCATATTGTGTCTCATAAATATAAAGCTATGCAAACGTAGGTTTTTTTGGGTCAAGTGGAAGCAACGATCCTATTCGGTGGTAATTCTGGAAGCAAAGTTTGAAAACATATAGGCCACCTCATATGTTGATCACATCGTCAACTTGCCCTCCCATTGATGTAAATGAGAATAATGAATTGTATATTCTTATCTTGCCTCTGAATTTAATCCCCTTATTACCATTCGATACATCCAATAGTCACTTCAATGGTTAGACAGTTCTTTCAATAATGGTAACTAAATTTTGCCATCCATACAACATAATGAAAATAAAGGAGTAGTTGGGTTTTTGCCCTTAACAGTTCGCTCTTCATACCAGAGAACTGCTCCACAATGTTTGCAATTGTAAGATGGTTCACCAAAGTTCCACGACTCTAATTCCACTGTGTAAAGAAATAATATATTCATCAATTAACAATGAAACATCGAAATAACTATAAGATCCTATGCTATTAGAGATAAACATAATGGAAACAAGGTGAAAATTGGTGGAGCATGAAGTAAGGTTCATATGACATGTATTTATACGAAATTAGGGTGGATTTGTTACCTTTTAAGCTTTACAACTTTTGTAACTTGAAAATGAGTTCAAGATCTTCAACAAATTTGATGAAAATCCTCAAAGTGTATCCACCCCAAGATGAAGAAGAGAGAGCCTATCTTGAGCTTGAGAGTGAGATATTTTTCAATTAAAAAATTAGGTTGGAGATAAACACATATTTATATACAAGGACCATTTTGCAATAATTTGAAATTGTTCTCAAGTCCTTGAACTAATATGAATCCTATATTAACACTTAATACAAATTCAATATTATTTTCAAGTCCTTGAAATAAATTCAATTTAATATTAAATCATTATTGATCCTAAGTCTTTGAAACAATTTCAATTTAAGATTAACTCCTTAATATTAAATCCTTGATTTAAACAAATTTATAATCAAGGCATATAAACTAATCTCATTCAATATCTAACCCATTATTGAATCCAACTCAATAATATATTCTAGTCCATTATTGAATCTAATCCAATAATGACCAAGTTAGTTACCTTATTACTCTTGGTAAGTACTAGCTTTCCATGAGAAATCATTTCTCACCAATACATAAATGTGGATGCACACGTTTACATCCGAACATTGTTAACCTTTAACGATATGTATTGCTCTTTCTTCTCACACTTGGTTTTTAGGTGTGATCACTTAGGTTCACTGTAACCTCGCAATCCGATATGTTTTGTCACAATTCTTTATGATCGAAACTCCCACCAATTATGGTAGGCATCTAGCAAAGCTCCATAACTCCTTAGCCACAATGAAGTTAAACTCCAATGAACCTTTTTCCCGATCGCACATTCTTTGTAGTAAAATCCCTATCTTGTCTAATCCCAATTAAGTATAGGTTCATGGTATGTCAAAACCCTTAACTTAATCTTTATCCGAATTGTCAATCAATACAATGGAACGTGTCATCATTGAACTCCTTTTCATATGACTATTTTATACTCCAGCAAGAGATTTCCTTTTTCCAATGTTTATTGACATTTTTCTGGGAACTCGAGACCAAACTATATCAAGTCAACGGATCCCATCTTGACCATCACTTGTCCTCGTACATGAATAACATATGACCAAATCGGCTTCTTACACAAGACATGACTAGTCTTGTGTTTATACACCATATGAATCATATGTATCCTATGTTGAATTCAACTGTGATGTCTCATGTCTAAGAATTAGTGGTACACTAGTACAATCCTACGATGTATTGTTAACCACATTCTAAATGTCCACGTAATTCATCGTAACTAGTCATATTCAATCAATAGTTCACCAACCGTTTATCCATGCTAATGCCCTAGTAATATAACTCTTATAATTACCCACATTAATACCATCACATGATATTCAATGGAGACATTCAACATGTCTACTATGCAATGTTATTGCCCAATTAACATTACTTATGTAGAGAATGCTTTGATGATTTGATCTTTTAAAGATCCGTATCATCTTGACATTTCACATGCATTATAAATACTATAAATGAAGTAGTAAACATGTGAAATCAAAACTCTTTCTTCGATTCTTAAAAGAATATTTACAAGA